GAATGGATTTGCATATTGGACTCATCATCTATAGAAGTACATTTAGCTGACAACACAGAGACTGGACTGACTGATGCTGGAATGGATTCAGCAGTCCTCTTTAAAAACCCAGCAACTTCTTTTCCTCATCATTCACTTCCCTATTTCCTACATAGGCAGTCTTCATACTGTCTTCCAAAATTATGATGTGAACATTGGAAAATTGCTTCTTCTTACAGTCACTCTTGTAGTGACCTTTCTCTTGACAATTATAACAGGTGATGTCAGTGGCAGATCAACAAATGTTCTTTTTTCACTTATCAACATCCATGGCATTTGGATCTTGGGTATTTCTGCAGAAATGAATGAACTTCCTTTCATACTGAGATTCCTTCCCATTCTAGGATATGCTTCATAGCAATTGCCATTTGGGCTTGTCCCACAACCTTGATCCATTCTATCACAGTGGTGGGTGCATGACCAAAATTGAGGATCCAATTACAGTACTCCTTATTCAGGCCTTTTCCAAAGAAAATGCCAGCCTCACATGACTCTTCCTTCAACTGGGCTTTATTAACAAGCCTGGTGAATTCTGTGATATAGGCCTCAAGTTCACAATCTCCCTGCTCGATGCTCGAGAGACTGAAGGATTGCAAGAGCAGTTTGATCCCCAGACTTGAAAGTAGCTTTGAGATGGTCAACAAAAGTTTTGAAGGTATCAGTGTAGTAAATTGTTCCATCAAGAAGCTTATTTTCATTCTGGTAATTTTCCATGAAGGAAACTGCTGACCCTTTAGTCATGTATGTGAGTGCGAATGAGATCTTGAGAGCCTTGGTGTTGTAGACATGTCGATTAAGGTTAAGATAACCTTCCACCTGAGTTACCCATGTCTGGAGCCCATTGTGACTCCCATTGTATTCTCCAGGATGCCCCACATTGAATTCCCTTCCACCATTAGGAGGGTGGACCTGGTAATCTTCATCATCATCATACCAGGACTTTCCCTTACTGCCACCACCAGCAGGCAGCTCTGGGGGTACATCCTTTCTGAAGTTTTCAAGTGTACCAGTCTCTCAACATTGTGTCAGTAGGTGTACCTCAAGGAAATGGATCACTTGTCGAGGTGGACATAATTCAATGAGCCTCCTCCATCATAGTGATTCTTTGTTCCTCCACCTTCTGCCTCATCTCTTCCTCCATGTATGTACTGTGGGGGCATCTTGGGGGCAGACTATCTGTGACCTTGAGTCATGGACATTATGTTAGTTTGATTGGCTTCCTGTTCTTCCTTGAAGACTGATCTGAAAGAAGTGTCAGGACTTCTGATCATCTTCTTCTCCTGAACTAAGTGTGACTTCTGACTCCCTATAACAGGACAAAAATGATAAATGGGGGTTTGCTGCAGTTGCCTGAAGGTCCAAGCCTTCCAAGAGGGACAGGAGGTAAAGGGGGTCTCCTTCCTAGTCCTAGCAGGTCCAAACAAGGTGGGACTTGGGGCTTCTGCTTCTGCAGGTTAGACACTTTAATGGATAGTGACAATGAAGACTGAGGGAGGAATTATATCCCAAGGGAAACCTGTCAGTTTGACAACAGAGTAGTGGCCAAGTTACTTTTCATGAATTGAGCAATGAGGCCAGGCTCTAGGGAGGTGATCTATTAAAGCTGGATGGCTGCCTGTAGAGTGAGTAGAGTTTGTTGTTGTAGAAAGGTTTAGTTGAAGTTCAGAAAACCAGGATGAGTGACCTTTTGCAAAGAGGGTAGCAAGTCCTTGAAAGCTGCACAAGTTTTTTGATTTTGTTATGCCCGAGCTGAGTGACTTCATCAAATGGACTAGTCATGGTGGGTGCAAGGGGGAGTCTATGGGCCAAACTTATCATAACCCCTATGGCTCAGTGTTATTGACAAGTATTCTGGCAGAGGTTCCTTCTGGTGACCGTGACAGAATCAAGGGACATGGAGGAACAAGGATACAAGTCAAAGAAATAAGCTGAGTTGCAAGCTATCAAAAAACTGAGGATACACTGTATGGTGTGGCTCTATTTATATGTAAGTATCTGCATACCATAGCAGTTGCACCATCAAGATGGTAAGTATCTACAGCAGTAAACAATGAAACAGAAAAGAGTCATACAGTGTCATATGACAGGGGCAGTCAAGGAAATGAAGGCTATACTGGCTGCACAATCAATGTGCAGCAAGGAGCCTGACACCGGAGCTAAGAAGTAAACATATGAACAACACAAATGAGTCAGAAGGGACAAGGAGGCATAAACGAAATACATGTCCATCATTGGGTGGTGTTATGAGTCAGTATGACATGCACAGCATCAGCAGGTATTGGAAATACCTCCACTGCTGGTGATCTGAAGGCTCTGGGTGCCAACAGACTGAGGATGACCACAGTGAGGACAAATGACATGACGAGGCACATGACACACATGACTGAGACTTGGCAAAAAGGAAAGACCCCTGACAAGGTTGTAACACTCTCCACCCTCACACTTGTGGCATTCTTACTCAGTACAGAGGAGTGATATTATCTCTTGTGTAGATATTCTTGTAGTCTGTGAATGTAACCCTCTGAGAAAGCAGAGATATAGCTATCCCACAAATTGGGGAGCAACAATAATAGCACAGCCTGTCTTCACTATCTTCATCTCTCCCTGTTGTCCTCTCTCAGGACCTGGCTCTGCCTTTCCCCTTTGAAATCACTGTTATCAATGTCAAGGACCCACCTATGACTGGGCTTGATCCCATCAGGTGTGACAAGGGGTTTCACAACCATGCATTTATCCCAGGTCCCTACTCGCTCCACACCCTACTCTGCCAGTCATTCACTCACTCCACACCAACTCCACCTGCACTCTACCATTTACAAGCCTCCTCCACTCTGCCTTCTGTCAGACTTGTACTGGTCTACTGTCAGACTGTGTGGACCATTCTCCAAGAGGTCATGTGACCCTTACCTGTCCAGCCTTTGGACTTCTCCTTGACAGTGCACAGTCAGGTACTCCACAGTGCACACACCTCATGGTTTAGCACCTAGACTATTTCCTTTTTGGATTGTTCTGTGTTACCCATCATATGTTCTCCATCTACCCTTCATTCATCATCCAGGAAAGTTTTACTTGAAAATTTACAAGTCCCCATATGTCAGTTCCATTCCTGATTGCTGTACCTCCATAGTAGTATAAAAGCATGTACAGTACTTGGCTGTTCTTCAGTATGAATATCACCTAAGTTCCTACTCCATATCTCTCCATCTTCTGTCTGTTGGAGTTATCTCCAAACATCTGTCTGGTCTCCACCTCTGAAATACAAGGGCAGAGATTGTGAAAGGGGGTGGCACACAAGCTAAACCTGACACCCTCACTCTGCTCCACTTCTGTCCCAGCAGACTTCATCCCCACCAACCCTCCACTAGTCAGAGTTCCATTCATCCATGTCAGACTCGCTCCCACACCTCTCCACCTCTCCCCAGACCTTGTTAAGTGTCAGAGTTGGTTGGAGTAGGCCCAGACTTGACAAGGGACCTGCCACTGTGGACAAAACAACTGGTGAGTTTGACATTACTTGGGGTGTCCTCAAGACAGTGGTTGACATCATTGGGTACACAGGAGGTGACAACCACATTGGCTCACTGGTCTGTGTGTTAGGGGCAGTATCCCCTTTGAGCAATGAGCCTTGCAGATTGGTTGGCACCCTTGCTCTCAACATCTCTCTTCTCCCCCCTCAGGCAGATAAGTGAGTAGATCTTCTTGGCTCTATGTTGTGTTACAACCTCATCAGGGGTCTTTCCTTTTTTGCCAAGTCTCAGTCATGTGTGTCACATGCCTTGTCATGTTGTTTGTCCTCACTGTGGTTGTCCTCAGTCTGTTGGCACCCAGAGCCTTCAGATCACCAGTGGTGGAGGTATTTCCAATACCTGCTGATGCTGCACACACTGTGTCATACTGACTCATAACACTGCCTGATGATGGACATGTATTTCATTTATGCCTCCTTGTCCCTTCTGACTTGTTTGTGTTGTTCATATGTTTACTTCTTAGCTCCGGTGTCAGGCTCCATGCTGCACATTGATTGTGCAGCCAGTATAGCCTTCATTTCCTTAACTGCCCCTGTCATATGACACTGTATGACTCTTTTCTATTTCATTGTTTACTGCTGCAGATACTTACCACCTTGATGGCATGACTGCTATGGTACATGGATACTTATGTATAAATAGAGCCACACCATACAGTGTATCCTCAGTTTTTTGATAGCTTTCAACTCAGCTTATTTCTTTGACTCATATCCTTGTTCCTCCACATCCCTTGACTCTGTTGCAGCCACCAGAAGGAACCTCTGTTGGAATACTCATCAATAACACTGAGCCATAGGGGTTATGATAAGTTCAGCCTGTAGACTCCCCCTCATGCCCATCATGACTAGTCTATTTGATGAAGTCACTTGGCTTGGGCATAACATGTTGATGACTTGGCAACAAGGTAAGTTACAAGCAGATGGAGCTCAAAACCTCCTAGCAATGATGTGTTTGTGGAGGCTGACATAGGGTCTTTCAGGCAGAGGTACGATGGCAGGCAAGTGCAATATCTCCCAAGCTCAGTGTGGTCAGGCCAAAGTGCAGATCAACAAGCAGATGTTCTTGTCTCATGGGGATTTCCTCCCATGCAGTAGTTACCTTTTATCTGTGTTGTATATTTGAATACTCATTCATTGGGGTACATCTACCCTTGCTCCCACTATGTGTTTTACTCACCCCCTTTTGGGGCATGACATACATCTCACCTTCAGGCATAGCTTCACTTCCTTATTTGGGTGTGATGTTGACTTGTAGTTTCAACAAACTCCAATCCCCCTTGTGAGTAGGATTCATTGCCCTCCTAGATGGTGGGAGCCAAGCATCAGCCCATCACATCAGGCAAATCCCTCCTAACACCTGGGATCCACAGCTAACACTCATCTCATAGATCACCACTTCACCACAGCCAGAAGGCACTTTGCACCTTCACCCACTCCCACTTAAGCATTTACAGCAGAAATACAGAGTTATGATTAACACATGAAAGGTCTATTCCAGGGACACCAGCCTAGTGCCATCTGAGTTCATCTATGAGGTGTAGTACCACATCCTTATCCGCTGCACGCTCCATTTCGTATGGGGTTACAATTTCCTTGATCCGATCTCTCCATTCATGTTCCTTGTCATGCACAGTTGGTACCCAATGTGCTTTCAGATATTCCCAATGAGCAGGGAACCACCCTGAAGCCTCCCAGTCAATCAACGCCACGACCTTATCACCCTTCACCATCACGTTGCGCAGATCGATGTCTCCGTGTGTGAATACCAGGGGGTGTGATTGTGAGTGTGACTCTGCAACGTTTGGTGGAAACTCGGACACGTCGTGCTGTCGACGAAGGGCCGAGTTCAGTTCTGACTCATCCGCGTAGGGCCCGCTGACTCCGGCCTGCTCATCCGTAGGCCAGCCCTGCGCAAGTCGATCATCGGAGACCGGCAGACCAGCCACAGAGCCAATCAAGGTGCCAGGAGGTGGTGTCAGCGACCTGAGCTGTGAGATATAATTATGGAGTTGAGTGATAATCCGGACCCGCACGGGATCGTCGAGGGAAAGCCAGGTCTGAATATCCAGGGACTCTCCATCGACCCTTTCCATGAAAATGAATGCGGTGTCCGGATAGCGCCGAGTCTTTCCCCATTCCCAACCCCTTCGCCACCAAAGGATCCATGGTGGCAAACGAAGAGCAGCATAGACCCTTGGAACAGGAACTGACGTTGCTCGCCTGACGAATGTCATGTTGGCTGACTCCTCGTAGGCCATACGGGTTTGCTTGATGTAAACGTACGGACCCAAAGTTTCTTCGAAGCAAATACATCAACGTTACCGTGCATGTTAGAGAAACATAGCAGGAACTACTTACTTTTCCAGATGTAAGAAACCACAGTAAACGTGGGCAAGAAGGCCCATTGCTCGAAAAATATTTGAAATCTTCTCCACAGAGTCGAATGCCTGCGACGGGTCTGTGGACGTTCCATAGTGTAGTGCCGCAACACAGGAAGGGAATGAAAAGAACGACCACAAGTTAGTTCCCTTGCTCAACCGCGCCCCCGCCCGACGTGTCACATGATATCACGTGATGTACGCAAACCCAGCCTCCGATACATCACGTGATTCATGTCACAGGGACTCGAGCGAGGAATACATTAAGTTCCTGTTTGACCATCCCATTTCTTTTCATTGTTTAACCATACCCGGGTGATACATCGGCGAGGAAAAGACTCAACCTTCAGTCCTGCTTTACTTCTATCCCTGATTGCTCATAGCAATGCAGTGGGTTCATCCCAGCTTCAATAGGTGCACTAGTTATGCCCCTGGTGAAACTTACTACTGATCTTCGCAATGGCTTTGTGTTTCTGAGCCCATCCCGTCCTTCACACCAGGCACTGCCACATAGTGGGGCTTCCCCAACTGCCCCCAAAAAGATTGAAACTTCTTCCTCAATACTCTGCCATGCAGTTGGGAAATCCACAAGCACCATGTCTCTTTGCTAACCCATCCTAGCATTAGTATGTGGGGTATACATGATCAGTGACCTGACCAAGGTGCCCACATAATCACAAGGTCAAGATCTGAGCCATGAACTGACCTACTGTGACCACATCTGCTGGTAGTGTTGATGATGACCATTGTTGAGCCTGCCAACTCTATTGTCACCCCTCCACAGTACATGACCTAAGCACTGTCTCCAAAATGCATCACCAGTAAGTGCTGTGTTCTGGCTACTGTCTTATCCCCATCCTTCACACTGTGGTGACTAGCCATGGAAATGGCAGAACCTCTTGTATAAAATTTGCATAACATTCTAATGGGACAGCTATTACAGCAGTTTGTGAAAATAATGTCAGCAGCAAAATATTTTGAGCATGTCATGAGCCCTGCCCAATAAGGAAATGTACCAAGCTGGCATGAAAAGACTAGTGGGACCAACTACCATGTCACCCCAACTCACCAAAATCTCACTGGTGATGTGTCAGAACTTGTGGTTGTTGACAAAATCAGTGAGAACAAGTGCATGCTGTCAAGTATGGGTTTACCCTCAGGTGACCAGGACTTCAAGTCTGGGTGACAGGGGCTAAGTCTGGTTGACTGGAGTCAAGGCCAGAAGACAGGGGCCAAGTCTGGAGGTCTGGAGTCAAGGCCAGGAGCATGGGAAACTGACCAGTCTCAGAGTGCACATAGGGGGAATGCTAGTCCAGGGTTGGATCTACCTCCCTCAGTCTCAGCTTATGTGCTGCACCCTTATGCAAGCTGGGGAGAGGTCTGGGGCAGGGGCAGAGGATAGACTAAGGCTCAGCCTTAGCTATTGAGTAGGCTCAGAGGGTGATACAGAGTTGAGGGTAACACTTAGTTGATATTCTGACTGGAGTGCTACAAAGTATGTACAGGGGTTAAATACATGAGGCCAGTCTGGAGTAACAAACATAGAGCCAGACTTGTTGGTAAGCTATTAGCAAGATGATTAGCAAGGTGTGGACAGCCATGGAGGCTGTGCCAAGACTAATAGTCAAAGTCTGGGTGACTGGCATAGCTGGAGTTGGACACAGATTTCATACAGTAAGCAGAGATCAGGCAAGAGGACTAAACTAAATATAGCACAAACATCAGAAAACAGACTGGAGTTATGTCCAGGTGACCTGGACATGGACCTGGGAGGACTGGAGTGATGCAGTGCAGGGCCAAGAGGCTGGAGTGGACCAGAGAGAGGGGTAAAACACAGGACTTGAGTTTTCTAGGTTGGAGTAGGTCTGGACTTGACTGGAGGTAGGGGCTAAGGGTCTGGACTGGACTGGGCTTGAGTCCAAGAGTCATGTATGTGACACATGCTCACCCAACATCATGGAGGAACAGCATATAGTCACTGTGCACAGCTAAAGGATGTGTTTGTTTGAGATGATAGATACCATGTGCTGCAATGATGGTGGATGGGTACATTGCGGCACAGGTTGAGGGCCCCTTCAATGCAGAGCAGTTCTAGTTTCATTGCAGAAGAAGTGGTATGAATTTAGGTGCCATTCACCCTGCAAATGTGATGTCCAAGTTTTTGACTTCAGCTTCAGTCAAGAGGGTCACATGCATCCACATGAGGTATGCAACCATTGTCACCCAGTTACTGTGATCATTGAATGTCTGGCTCATCTATGGGATCAACCTGCTTGTTGCACTGGCATGGCCTTACAATAAATCCTCTAGACCCACAGAACCCCCTGCCTCCCCCCAGGACCTGCAAGAAAGCTGTGGTATGGACAACAGAGGAGGAAGGTGCATTACTGGATTTTTTGGCCTCTCATCTTTCACAGCCTGGTGATGGGAACTTTAAGAAGGTTATGTGGAACACTGCAGCAGCTCACATGGCCAATAATTATCCACTGGGTCCAGATAATGGTGATAAGACAGCTGAATTGTGTGAGCAGAAGTTCAAGGTGGTAAGTCATCATATCATTCTTCTTTTTTGCCTTGCTAACAATTATCCAGCTTAAAAAGTCCTACTACACCATCACCAATCTTAAATCAGTGGCCTCTGGCTTTGCTTACTACAATGAGCATGGTGTGATGATCTTGCTGGACAATGCTGATCTTTGGGATCACTATGTAAAGGTAATGTAGTTTTTTCTTGTCAGATCATCCACTAACATCTAGTCAGGTGCACAAAGATGTGAAACCATTTCGCAATTCCAGGTTCCCCCACTTCACAAGTGTAGAGCTCCTTCTCCCCTTGCATGGCCAAGGTCAGTTTATCTACTGGCCACATGCCACTACCACACCTTCTACAACCACAACCTTTGCCTTTGATACTCCCACCTCTACTGCACCCCCCACCACTTTGACTATTCCTACCCCCCTCCCTCCCTCTCCTCCTCAAGATGACACATGCTCTCAATGCACACCATCACAAGGACATGCAGTATGTGGATCCAAATTTCATCCCCCCTTCTGCACCATCAAGCTTTTTGTCACATGCATCAGCTGGGTCATCATCATCATCTGCTGTCACAGCATCAGTTGTGGAAAAAGGAAAGCTGAGTCTGTTGCAATGTCTGAAGGTGGATCAAAGCACTCTCAGCCCCCATCAGCCAAAGCACATGCAGAAGAAGATCACAATTCATTCATCACTGCCATCACCTCCAAGCTCAATAACTTCACACATGTGATCACTGCCCCATTGCCCCTGCCACCCCCACCACCCATTACCAATCCCCTCATCAACACTGCCATGGACTACATCAACAACATGCCACAGCTCTCAACAGACAATCAGATCAACATCAGCAACTACTTCCTCAGTGCAACCCTGGATGAAGTGAATATCTTCCTCAAGCATCAGGAGCTGGTGAAGCAGATTTGGGTGCAGCATCAGCTGATGAAGTACTGGGATGGGCAGAAATAGGTGTTTATTTTCTTTTTTTTTTACAATACACAAATGTACTCTCCCTCCCCACTGCATATCTTTTCAAGTCCCCCCCCTCCCCCCCTTTATACAAATATGTACATAATAAAATGTACATGACTAGCTTCCTTTTGACAATGGATGTTATTTCCCTACATGAGTGTGAAACAATTGTAAGAAAATATATTTGTACACCATGAAATCTGAATGTTCAGGCTCAGAGAAGGCCCCTAATTGTAAGCTGGTGCTGATAGTCAATCCACATCTCCTCTGCAATGCTGTCACGCCTATTATCAGCCCTTCTCCTCTCTGCAGCATCTGCTGGTCCATCACCAAGGCTTCCAATACCATCATCCTCTACTATGTCCATGGCAAGTTCAGGGTCAAAGAACTCTTCTGGATCATAGCACCATATGAAATTGTGGAGGGCACAGAGAGCAGTGGGTATTTGAGTTTTGAGTTTGGGTGTGGATGCTATATTCAGGGGGAATTTGAAGAATTCTCCACCTGCATTTTATAACACCAAATATCTGTTCAATGGCATTTCTAAGTCCAGCATGGTGAAGGTTGAATAACTCCTCTTGGTTTTGAGGTCTATAAAATAGAAGTTACAGGCACACTGAGCAGGATGGAATAGCAACTTACCTTAATCCAGCCTGGTGCCATTCTTTCAGATGGTAATGAACACCTTGATAGGGAACCAGAAGTGCATCACAGGTCCCAAACCCTGCATCTGCAAGAAGGTACTTCCCAGGTGGCATGTGCAAGTCATTCCTGTGTGCATCACACCACATGGTTGCATCTGCAGTTGACCCATCAAAGCCAGTGAGGGCATATGTGAAGAAGAAGTCAAAATCACAGATGAAGAGACAGTTTTGAGATAGGTAGCCCTTCTGGTTCCTCATGTAAGGCTGGTCCTCAGCAGCAGTGAATGCTCAAATATGAGTGCCATCAACTGCACCAATACAATCCTGGAAAAATCAGAAGCATGGGTCACTAGTAATTGTAGTTGATATGGGAGTGTTGTTGGTGGGGAATTGCACTTGGGATGCATAAAATTGTCCCCCAGAAAAGAAAGCCAACATTGCATTGAAATATCTAAAAAATTGTGAGAAAAATATCAGACAGTCCAATGAACTCCCTACCTAGTGATGGTCCCTAGTGAGTGTTGGAATCTCTCAGCAACATGCTGGGATGACAACCCAGTAACACAGGTGTAGAGGAATATCCCAAGTTGTTCCTCCACAGAAATTCCATTGCAAAAAGGCACAAAACCATGGTGGGTGAGCACCTGCATCAGGTGATCAAAAACCCCATGGCTGACACCAAGGCAAGTCTGTATCCTGTCTGGATGACCATTCAGGAGCTCTAGCATCCACCCCTCACCAGTCACAATTGAGGTATGGTAGGGGATTGGTTCTGAGTCAGAATGAAAAAGGAGATCATAGAGGCATAGCACCTGGATCATCACTGCTACTACAAGTGCAGCAAGACAGCAACGATGATGGTGCTGGAGCTGCTGTGCTTCAAGATCCATAGCAGAGTTGTTCAATCTGTTATCACAATGTTATCTATTGAACTACAAGTTGCATTGTTGTCTTATATAATCATCACATGACTACATTACTGAAGCAGAAGCCCAAAACTTGGACTTTGCATTCACGCGGGCGTGCACAGCTTATATAATCATCACGTGACTACATTGTCGAAGTAGAAGTCGAAGTTTTCGACTTCGACTCCGGAGAGTGAACGGCGCCGAAAACTTGGATTTCGCATTCGCAGGGTGAACGGCGCCTAAGCGTACAGCAAACCCAGCTCAACCAACCCCCGACACATCACGTGACTCACGTGACATGCCGGCGGCTTCCCTACATGGCAATGTGAGCGACTCCAGCGAGGACGTGGATGAAAAAAAAAACTACTATGTGCAGCTGTTGCAGTGCAAGGTGCGAGGACTCAGATTTTCATTTCGTCTTTTGTTTTCTAATCTATTGTCTCGCTCTTTAGATATATTTCCCTTTTGTTCTAGTCTTTCCCAGGCGCTTTTAGATCTAGTTATAGTATGTGTTTCTTCCTCCTTCTCGGGTCACACACTGTGTCTCGCTCGTTTTCACACTGCGTCTCTCTCTTTTCGGCATGTCGATACTCCTTGACAATAGCTCCCTTTTAATACCTGTTTCACCTAAATGTGCCCAGCGATTCAAGAGATATTCCATGTTTTGTAAGAAGGGCCACCCTTGAGGCCATGTTATCATATCTCGTGCATCTCTGCGCCGGGTCTCTTGCGTGTGCCGTCAAACATTCCCCCCACTGACCCCTCTCTGGGTACATCTCGTTCGTCCAATCCCGCGCAGCGGTTATCGAGATATGCCCATTTCTGTGTTCAGAAGGCCTATGAGGTGTTTTGGCGCATAATTCGTGATTGGGTGGTCTGATCATTATAATCTCTTTTTTTCTGTGTGCGTCTAGGTGTTCCCTACAGCCCTCTGGAGTTTCACGCTGGTTGCCCAAGTCATTGATGCTCGGGGGACTCCCCTCTACCCCCAAGTGTACCTTGTGAAATTGCAAGTGTCATATCTCGTCTGTTTTGTCACCAGCCCTCTCGCTTTTGGTGGGGTGCGGTACTACCCTTTGAGGGCTTTTGAATGGTATATTGGACGTTGTGCTTGCTGCAGTAGGTCTGGAGATATGCTCTGTTTTGTAGTCAGAGGCACCTTCGGACAATTTTGCGAATATCTTAAGGCTGGGTGCATGCATTCGCCCAGTTCTTTTTGCCCCGTGCTCCTCAAGTTCCCCTTCATTATCTCCTCTAGTTTCACACTGTTTCGAGCACCCGTCGTTGTCTGGCACTCCCCCCTTCTCCCCATTTGGTGCCTAATAATATGCATTCATTACATCTCACCCGTTTCATCGGAGGATCTCATTTTTTTGGAGTCTTGTATTACTCTTCTGGGGCGTCCGAACAGTATATAATACATTGTGCTTGCTGCCGCAGATCCAGAGCTATTCCCCATGTTGCAATTGGTGATACCTATGGATTATTTTGCGAATATCTCGAGACTGAGTTTGCGCATTCACACCATTCCTTTTCCGCCCTGTTCGCCATGTTCCCCTCTGGTTGAGCAAGGGGACTCCAAGCGTACTATTAATTCTGCAGACGCGTGCCTTCGTCCCGCCGACGCCCAGCAACTCCTCGATTTCGTCGCTTCCTATTACTTTACTTTGGCCTAGCGTCACAGGCGTTGGCGAGCTCACAACTCGTGGACTGTCCGAGCATTGAATGACGTGGCACGGAGGTACGAAAGTCGTCTCAGCTCGCACACATTACGTGTAAGCCAATTGAAACCCGTGGCTTTCGCAGCTCATCGATAGCCTAGATATTAGAACATATGGTTTCCGTCCAACCCCTATCAGATGCAAGTCCACCGGTAACCTGACACATCGCCGTCCTCCTGCTGAGTGACTCAGTCGACTGCGTATCTACGGCACCGCACGAACTGTGAGTCAGCCCGACATCAATTCCTGCATTCTCCCAACAGCGCATAAAACACTTGGTTGTTCAGACGTTAGCTTATCAGCATCCCCCAGCTTTGCATCTCTCACACCTGATCAGTCTCTCTTACTATGGCACCTTGCACGGCTCCCGTACTCGTGGTATGTCGACCTTCATTTCCTACCCTCATAGATTGATAAACATGGTCACTAGGTCGGAGCAGGTCCAACGGGCCTCACCTGCGGCCTTGACACTTGTCCAGAACAACGTGCCGGTTCGCATTATAGAGAAGGAACTCCACCACCGACGCGGCCAGCGTGGTCCTGGCATCCAGGTAAGTTACCTCGCCTTGCATGCTCCTACTACGGCACTAATTCTACACAGCCCCGCACATTTGAAGTCTTCCACTTTCTGCATGTCCCCGAGATCCATGAACGTGCAACGTTTCTTCCTCTACTTCAGGAACACAACAGGGGTTCACTCGAAGCCCGCAAAACGTTTGCTATGTCACCCTACACAGAGCCCACGCCCTCGATTCCATATGTGTGTACTTCTCCCTTCTTCTCATTTTCTCTTGCTACATGGACAGTGCAGATGGGTGGAATGATGGGTTAACGGAATATTGCAGTATAATCCCAAACTCATGGGCCAGCATACACTTGAGGAAATCTTGCGTGAGCACCTCGCCAAGCTTGGCTGCACCATCGAATTAGGCACTCGACTGGTCTCGTTCACGCAAGATGACAAGTTCGTCACGGCCAAGGTTGTCAAGCATCGCGCCGATGATGATAAGGAGATTGAGGAGGAGTTGGAAGTGGCATATTTGATTGGTGCCGATGGCGCGAGAGGTGTGACAAGAAAGCAACTCGAACTTGCGTTTGTCGGCTCCACATGGGAAGACACCTACATTGTGCTGGGCGATACTCGTTTAGAAGTTAAAGGACTCGATCGCGAGGTACGTGTTGACCTTTTTATGGATGAAACAAGTCAACTAATCTATCCCTTTAGTACTGGCACCATTTTGGCACGATGTCGCAAGACATGTACGTTCTCGTGTAACCTTTTGTGTCGTACGTCAGCTAACGCATTGCAATTGGCAGGATCTCGCTCCGCCCAACTGATGAACTTGGCAAGGACGGATACCAGTTCCTGATCACTAGTCGTGTACGCGACCTGAAAGGCCTCGTCCTGGACGAAGAGGCTCTATTGAACTGTATCAAGGATTTCATCGGCCTTGATGATGATGTCAATGTCAAGGAAGTGATGTGGGTTTCGGATTTTAGGTATGTTTAAACTCGATGAGTTGGAGCAGCTGTTGATGTATTTGGCTACTAGACCCAACATGAGGATGGTGAACAAGTTTGGTGTGGGGAGGGCTTTCATTGCTGGAGGTAAGAGCTCTTGTGCGTGTTGAACGTGATGTATTGCTCACTTCCCCCCCTCCCCTCTTCTCTGAGTTTAGATGCTGCCCAGTAAGTATACACATCTGCTGGGATGCAATGAAGCTCGGCTGACTCCATTTGTCAGTGTACACAGCCCAACCGGTGGGCAGGGTTTAAACACGAGTGTCCAAGACGCAGTAAGACCATGTTACTCTCTTCGAGGATGTCATGCTTACTTACGCTCAACAGTTCGGCCTTGCTTGGAAACTTGCATTAGTCTACAAGGGCTTATCTCCAGCTTCCCTCCTCGATACTTATACCACCGAACGACTCCCTGTCATCACTGAAATGCTCGGCCTCACCACTGAGATCGCCAAACGCACATTCGGCGAGTCAAAGGACGCAAACGCCCATACATCAACTAGCGATAGCGACGACACAAAGAAAGTGGAGTTGAACCTGGAACGTGCTAAACATCGTGGCAAGAATATGTATATGCTCGGCGTGAATTATCGCACGAGCCCGATTGTAGTCGACGAGTTTGCGCCCGCGTCGACCCCCGGAGTCGCAGTCGTACACAGTGCATATGGGAGCATCCAAGAGGGGGTTTTGCGAGCTGGTGATCGTGCACCCGATGCGCCAGGACTCTTACAGGTCCTGCAGATAGGAGGATCTGGGAACGCTCGTCTTTTTGATATCTTCACACCAATGTATCATACCGTTCTCATATTCGCACCTTCTTTGGCCGTCCCCATCGTATCGTCCGTCCTTGCGACTCTAACGCAGGCCGTGCCCAGGAACGGGATAGTGAGACCCCTGCTCGTGATTCCTGGCCATCCCTCTGTTTTAGAAGGGGGAGTCGAGACGTCTTCCTTACAAGATCAGGCTAGCGGTGTGGAAGTATTCGTCGACCAAGCAGGCCATGCGTACCGAGGGTACGTCGTCGAGAAAGACGAGACTAAGGTCGTTGCCGTACGCCCAGACGGGGTGGTTGGTGCGATTGTGCATGGCGCGGAGGGGTTGGGACGATACTTGGAGGGCATGTTTGTGGAGAAGTTGAAGGGTGTGAGTGCTGAGGTGGAGGTGATGTAAATGGAATCGTCTGTCGTCCGTTCCGAGTGGTCGTGTTGCCTCTGGATTTACACTGTACCAGTAGCTTTTGGGTCTCATATGTTCCTATTGCAATCACAAGTTTGTAAAGCGTAGCGTGCATTTACCCAGGTAGAGAATATAATGGTGTTTGGAGTAAATCCAGCAGAGAGACAGAAAAGTTGAGACACATTTCGACAAGCATGCATCTGACCCACGACTGCACGAAGTACGCTGATCGAACAACGTGCGACAACCATCGGAAACTTCCTTGTGGCTCCTGAGAAAGACCCTACCAAGGCGAGACTCCGGCCAGACTAGAACCTGAAAGCCGGCAGTCGATTGTTGCCGTCTCGCTGATGGCTTGATGATGTTTACCTCTTTCGTTGGTCAGTGTTTCATTTGAGGTGTAAATGCATCATACAAGCAGGTCCTCCCTCCGAGGTGGAGTCAACGTCACCGGGTATCTTCTGGTCCCCGACATCACTTGACTAGGTCGAGGCGTGCCCCACTGCTCAGTCACAGTATCAGTCATCTGCACCTGAAGCAACGCCTAGTTGCCAGTGTTTCTCTTCTCAATGACTCATTTGTCATTTTTCTGACTCGAGTCTCGACACCAGGGAAATCAGTGAATGCTTGAAATCGACGTTACGAATGGCGAGCTGTACTGGCCCCAATATCCTACCGAATTGGCTGCGATCCTGTGCTGCTCCCTTAATAAGTTCCAGGTTCAAGTGGGGTTTTGTATATAGGGCCCTAGGTCGCGTGCTAGCACCTTGTCTAGGTTCGCATTCCGGGCAATCATCCACTTCCACGGCACCCACAAAAACTTATCATCAGACACAAGATGACAACTCGCACAACTCCCGTACTTGTGGTCCGTTCAATCTTGTCTGCCTAACTCCGCCGAGTGCCAACCAGAATTCCAGGTCGGAGCAGGTCCAGCAGGCCTGGTCGCGGCCCTGACGCTTGCGAGGAACAATGTGCCAGTGCGTATCATAGAGAAAGAATCCCAATACCGACGCGGACAGCGCGGTGCGGGCATTCAGGTGATTTGCGCATTCTTCAAATTCCTCTCTACGAAGCCAATGTAACCCAGCCTCGCACATTCGAAGCTTTCCACTTCCTACGTGTTCCCGAGATCCACGAACGCGCATCCTTTTTCCCTCTCCTTCAGGAGCACAACAAGGGTTCTCTTGAACCTCTGAATACGTTCCCCATGACACCCTATATGGAACCCACACCGGCGATCCCATACGTGCGTACCTTTACCTTTAGGTCCCTATTATTAACCTGTGCGGAGACCGGGAATTATGCACTAATGGAACTTCACAGTATAACTGCAAAGCAATGGGTCAACATGTACTCGAAGCAATCCTGCGCGAGCACCTCGCCAAGCTTGGTTGCACAATCGAGTTAGACACTCGACTAGTATCATTCACCCAAGACGAGAAATGCGTCAGAGTGAAGCTTGCAAACCGTCGCGGCGACGACGGGGAAGAAGTCGAGGAGGATATAGAAGTAGCGTACTTGATCGGTGCAGATGGAGCGAAGGGTGTGACGAGGAAGCAACTCGGGCTTACCTTTCTTGGAACTACCAGGGAAGATGATTTCATAGTACTAGGGGATATCCGTTTGGAAGCCAAGGGCCTTGATCGGGACGTATGTGTCCACTTCTTTACGCACGACACAAGTGAGAAAAGTGACTCGTCTTTACAGCACTGGCACTTTTTCGGCACAATGTCGCGAGCTATGTAGGTTTCGTGCCACCTGCGACATAGGACCAGCTGACGGGTTGCAATTGACAGGATCACACTCCGCCCTACCGACGAACTCGGCAAGGATGGATGGCAGTTCGTGATGAGTAGTCGCAAAACTGACCTTAAAGGTCTCGTTCGAGACAAAGAGGCTGTTGTGAACTGTATAAAAGACTTCCTAGGCCTCGGAAACAATGTGCAGGTCAAAGAGGTCATTTGTGTTTCAGAGTTCAGGTGCGTTTTGTTTGCTTTGTTGGTAATCTTGGTTTGGTGCGGATTTTGACGGCTTCGTGGACTAGACCCAACATACGGCTTGTGAACAAGTTTGGAGTGGGAAGGATTTTTGTTTGTGGAGGTACGGATCTGGCATGTGTTCGAGTTTCACATTGCTCATCTGTTATTCAACCATGTCAGATGCTGCTCAGTTAGTCACTTAGTAGGAACAACCATCCACTTTTACTGACGCTTCAACCAGTGTTCACAGTCCAGCTGGCGGACAAGGTCTGAATTCAAGTGTCCAGGATGCAGTAAGGTGTAACCCGCTCCAAATCACAAGTTCGAGCTAACATACCCTTGACAGCTTAACGTGGCCTGGAAAATTGCATTGGTTTACAAAGGCCTATCCCCAGCATCCCTCCTCGACACTTATACCACCGAACGGCTGCCCGTGATTACTGAAATGCTTGGTTTCACCACCGAACTGCACGATCGCACGTTTGACCAATCCAACGGTGAAAGCGACAGCTCAAAACAAGTAAAATTTAACTTGGAAGATGCAATGCGTCGCGGAGGGAAGTTGTACATGCTCGGCGTGAACTATCGTAACAGCCCGATCGTCGTTGACGAGTTCGCGCCCGTTCCTGCTTCGGGAGCTGAAGGAACACGTAGTGCGTATGGAGACACCCAAGAGGGCGTCTTGCGGGCAGGCGACCGTGCACCTGATGCACCGGGACTCGTACCCACTTCACTGAACCGCGCATCATGCAGCATTTCGAGTGGTTATCAGTCAAATGGAATGGCTGAGAGCACCCGTATGTTTGATATGTTCGCGTCGACGCATCACACCGTTATCATCTTCGCACCAGCCTTCGCTGACGCTGAAGTGCGATCGGTACTGGTGACCCTGGATCAGAGTCTTCGGAAGAAGTTGGTAAGGCGCGTAGTTGTGCTACCTGGACCTTTTCCCGAAGCGGATGGGCCCGTCGATATCTCTTCTGGGGAAGGCCAAGCCATCGACGCCGATATACTCGTCGATCAGGCTGGTCACGCGTACCGGGGGTATGTTGTTGAGACGCAAGAGATCAAGGTTGTGGTCGTACGTCCGGACGGGGTGGTGGGTGCAATTGTGCGCGGTGTGACGGGGTTGGAACAATACTTTGAGGGCGTGTTTGGGAAGACGGAGGGTATGCGCGCCAAGTAGGATCGATTCTCGTACTGGCTCGTCAATTTCGGCAGGGACAACATAACCCCACTTTCTATACCCATACTCATATCATCCCTTCCTCAAAGACTTCCTCCAATCGTACGCGGCGCCTGTGTAGTGACTGGATGATTTGTGTCCATAGATTTCTATATGTACTCAGACATTCCATACACAACATCAGGAAATTAACACATTGACTATTTTGACTTGATGCTTGGGGTGGATGAGGTTGGAGTTGTATAGTGGGTGAGCTGCTTGTGTCAATATTTTACTGTGATCTGATCAATATCTTGTGATGCTATAAGTGCTATTGGTGTTGGGCCTGTCTTATGTTGTGACAGGGGTGGATCTTACTAGATGGACCTGTCCTTGTTTTATGGCAATATAAAAGATATTACTGAAGGGCCCATCCATATGTTATGACCATATAAATGATACTGCTGAAGGGCCTGTCCTTATGTTGTGACCACATAAATGATACTGCTGAAGGGCCCTTCCATATGTTGTGATGCTATAAATGATATTACTGATGGGCCCATCTTTATGTTGTGACAGGGGTGCATCTTACTGGACAGGCCTGTCTATATGTTGTGACACTGTAAATGATATTACTGATGGGCCTGTCCATGTGTTGTGACCATGTAATTGATATTACTGACAGGCCTGTCCTTATGTTGCAACAGGGGTGTGTCTTACTAGACAGGCCTGTCTTTATGTTGTGATGATACAAATGATATTGCTGAAAGGCCCATCTTTATGTTGCAACATGGGTGCATCTTACTAGACAGGCCTGTCCATGTGTTGTGACCCTGTAAATGATATATATTGAAGGGCCTGTCTTTATGTTGTGGCAGGAGTGCATCTTACTGGATGGGCCCATCTATGTGTTGTGACACTGTCAATGATATTACTGACAGGCCTGTCCTTATGTTGTGACAGGCATGCATCTTGCTATGGATGGGCCTGTCTATATGTTTATGTTGTGACAAGAGTATATTATCCCAAAGACAGGCCCTTCCATATGTTGCCAACTCTGTAATCTATCATAGAGGGGCCCCTCTTTATGTTGTGACCCTATAAAGCATATGATGGGCAGGCTCATCCATATGTTGCAGCATCCTTACCCTCCACAGGCCCTCCCATATGTTGTGGCATTGCACTTGCAGGCCCATATGTATGTTGCTCTCACTATAGGCCCTCAGGCCTGTCCATGTGTCATGGCTAATCTATTTAGACAGGCCTGTCTTGGGGTCTGTATAAGTGTTGGCATTTTGGCATGCAGGCTACCTATATGTTGTGACTAAATGGACTACATGGAGTCCCCTTTGACACCCTTGCTGATCCTGCCCATATCATGATTAGCCATCTAAACATTGACAGTGTCTTTGGTGGCCCAGATGACAAAGGGGAATATGGAGAGGATTATGATGGCATAGCAGATGCAGAGGGTGAAGTTGATGAAATGATGCCCCAGGACAAGACCACAGGAGGTGCCAGGGATGCTGCTTTGTAAGCAAGTCTTACACAGAGGAAGGGTACTTTGTACCCTGGAGGAGGGAATGTAAGGACTCAGTCCAATGCTGTTGACCATATGCTCAGATGGTGAATTCTCTATGACAGACTTACTTATTTTCTCATTTCTCTCTTGATCCTACTTTACCCATAACAGTGCTCTGACATATTTTGTGCCTGTTCCCCAACCTATAAAATGGCCTATGTAGCATGCTGTACAGGGACTCTCTTTTCTACCTCAAATCAAACAGACCTTTCACTCTGGAAATGAGTAGTACATAAAAGAAGAATCCTGGTGTGGTGTCATTGCAAGTCTTACAACTTCGCATCGCCATTACAGCAATCACGTACAGAATATCCGAGATTGAAATCCATGAACAGAAACTATCCTGTGACTACCGTGCGGTCGCAGAAAATTCTCGAAGAGGGGGTCGTGGGGTACGAGTATAGAAACTGGGGTTATGTAGTCCCTGCCAAAATTGCCGACCCAGTATGAGGATTGATCCTACTTGGCGCGCATACCCTCCGTCTTCCCGAACACGCCCTCAAAGTATTGCTCCAACCCCGTCGCACCACGCACAATTGCACCCACCACCCCATCCGGACGCACCACAACTTTGATCGCCTGCTTCTCGACAACATACCCTCGGTGCGCATGACCCGCCTGATCGACGAGTACTTCCGCGTCGATGGCCTGGTCGTCCCCAGAGGGCATCTCGACACGTCCATCTAACTCGGAGGGAGGTCCAGGAAGTATGATTACACGCCTTACAAATTCCTTTCGCACACTCTGGTCTAGCATCACCAGTACCGATCGCACTTAGGTGTCAGCCAGGGCCGGTGCGAAGATGATAACGGTGTGATGCGTCGACGCGAAGATATCAAACATACGGGTGCTCCAAGCCATTCCATTTGACTGAGAACCACTCGAAATGCTGCAGGATGCACGGTTAAGTGAAATGACGGGCACGAGTCCCGGTGCATCAGGTGCACGGTCACCGGCGAGCAAGACGCCTTCTTGGGTATCTCCGTACGCGCTGTATGTTGCTTCGGCTCCCGATGTAGGAGTGGGCGCAAAGTCGTCGATGACGATCGGGCTGCTACGATAATTCACGCCGAGCATGTACATCTTCTCTCCGCGACGCATTGAATGTTCCAAGTTGGGTTTCACTTTCGCCAGAAGTTGATCGTGGGGTACGCTCGACACTGGAATGATCAAACGTGCGATTGTGCAGTTCGGTGGTGAAACCAAGCATTTCAGTAATCACAGGGAGCCGTTCGATGGTGTAAGTGTCGAGAAGGGATGCTGGGGACAAGCCTTTGTAGACCAGTGCAATTTTCCAGGCAATATTAAGCTGCCAAGAGTGTGTTAGCTCGAGCTTGTAATTTTGACTGGGTTACGTCATACTGCATCCCGGACACTTGAGTTCAGACCTTGTCCGCCAGCTGGACTGTGTGCACTAGTTAAAGCGTTAGCAAAATTGGTGGTTGTTCTTGGCAAGTTACTAACTGGGCAGCGTCTGACGTCGGCGGATAACACAGATGAACAATGCGAAACTTGAGCACAGGCCACATCCGTACCTCCACAAATAAAAATCCTCCCCACTCCAAACTTATTCACAAGCCGTATGTTGGGTCTAATCCACGAAGCCATCAAACCAACATTGCCAACAAAACAAACTAGACCCACCTGAACTCTGAGACCTACATCACCTCTTTGACTTCGACATCGTCTCCGAGGCCTATGAAATCTTTTATATAACTCACGAGAGCCTCCTCGTCTCGGGCGAGACCTTTAAGGTCAGTTGTGCCACTACTTATACCGACCTGTCATCCATCCTTTCCAAGTTCATTAGTAGGGCGGAGTGTGATCCTGCCAATTGCAGTCCGTCAGCTGGTGTCTTGGCACACGCAGTGCAAAACCTACACATCTTGCGACACCGTGCCGAACCAGTGCCAGTGCTGTAAAGATGAGTCAGTCCTCTCACTGGTGTCGTCCGTAAAGGAGCGGACACATACGTCCCGATCAAGGCCCTTAACTTCCAAACGGATATCCCCTCCTACCAGGAAATCATCTTCCCTGGTAGTTCCAAGAAAGGTAAGCCCGAGTTGCTTCCTCGTCACACTCTTCGCTCCATCTGCACCGATCAAGTACGCCACTTCTATATCCTCCTCGACTTCTTCCCCGTCGTCGCCGCGATGCTTGGCAACCTTCACTCTGACGCATTTCTCGTCTTGGGTAAACGATACCAGTCAAGTGCCTAACTCGACGGTGCAACCAAGCTTGGCGAGGTGCTCGCGCAGGATTGCTTCGAGTGCATGTTGACCCATTGCTTTGAAGTTATGCTGTGACGTTCCATTAGTGCATAATCCCCGGTCCCTGTACAGGTTGACAATAGGGACCTAAAGGTAACAGTACACACGTATGGGATCGCCGGTGTGAGTTCCACATAGGGTGTCATGGAGAACGTATTCAGAGGTTCGAGAGAACCCTTGTTGTGTTCCTGAAGCAGGGGGGAAAAGGTTGCGCGTTCGTGGATCTCGGGAACACGCAGGAAGTGGAAAACTCAGAATGTGCGAGGCTGGAATATATTTACTTAATGGGGCCATTTGGAGTATGCGTAGCTTACCTGGATACCCGCACCGCGCTGGCCGCGTCGGTATTGAGGCTCCTTTTCTATGATACGCACTGGTACACTGCTCCGTGCAAGCGCCAAGGCTACGGCCAGGCCGGCTGGGCCTGCTCCGACCTGCAATTCTGATGGGCACTCGGTGCGAGTAACCAGACAAAATTGAACGTACTACAAGTACGGGTACTGTGCAAGTTGCCATGCTGTGTCCGATGATAAGTTTCTCTGAATTACGTGGAGGGGGTTGATTGGTCCGAATGCGAACGTAGTTGAGGTGCTAGCCAGCGACTAAGGGCCCTATATACAACAAACCGGGAACTTATCAAGGGAGCGATCCAGCATTGCGGCGGTTCAAGGTCCAATATTGCTCACCATTCGTCATGACGATTTGAGACGTTCACTGTTTCCAGTGTGGCGGCATTCTGACTAGATAAACGATTGAGCGGGTGGTCAATCTGAGACCACCAACCGCGGCCTTGCCTTAAGTGCAGGCGACTGATACTGTGGCTGAGCTGGAGCACGCCTCATGGGCCTAGTGAAACGACGGCGGGGACAAACGATACCCAGTGACGTACAGTCATCGCCCCGACTGCGAGATGAAGTCGACTCCACCATGGAGGGGGACCTGCTCGTGTGACGAGTTAGTTCATGTATACGGCCCATCACTACTGGTCGTTGCATTTGGCACGGTTGCTCCGTAGGTTCCGCGGTACGCTGTCTCGAGAGATGTGCAAAGTAGACTGCTACTTTATTAGGGGGTTGGGTCGCGTGCTCACATGTGTCACAGTTCATCACACATACTGTCACTACTGCATGATTCTCATGATGTAAAAAAAATTGGCTGCCCAACTGCGAAGTCTGCTGTACTTTGTGCAGTCATCGTGCCCGTCGGGCATGTGTCTCGACTGCTCTCTCTCTGCTGAATCTATTTTGAACACTTTCCGCCTGGGTAAATGCGCGCTACGTCTTACAATGCTATAATTGCACAATGGAACATGCGAGGTCCAAGATCAGTGTAAATCCAGAGGCAACACCATCACTTGGAACGGGCGACAGACTCGTCTGAGAGTTTTATCTACATCACCTCCACCTCACCACCCACACCTCTCTTCTCCCCAAACACGCCCTCCAAGTATCGTCCCAACCCCTCCGTGCCACGCGCAATCGCACCGACCACCCCATCCGGACGTACAACAATGACCTTAGACTTGTCTTTCTCGATGACATACCCTCTGTACGCATGGCCCGCCTGGTCTACGACTATTTCCGCGCCAGCAGCCTGATCTTGTACAGAAAGTGTTTCGACTCCCCCATCTAAATCAAAGGGACGCCCAGGAAGTACGATCAGAGGTCTCACTAACCCGTTATTCGGGACGCCCTGTTTTAGAGTCGCAAGCACGGACAATACGACGGGGACGACCAACGCAGGTGCGAATATGAGAACGGTATGATACATCGGTGCGAAGATGTCAAAAAGACGAGTGATCCCAGGTCCTCCTGTCTGCAGGACCGGTAAGAGTCCTGGCGCATCGGGTGCACGATCACCAGCTCGCAAAACCCCCTCTTGGATGCTCCCATATGCACTGTGTACGACTGCGACTCCGAGGATCGACACGGGTGCAAACTCGTCGACCACAATCGGGCTAGTGCGGTAATTCACGCCGAGCATGTACATATTCTTGCCACGATGCATAGCACGCTCCAGGTTCGACTTCACTTTCTTTGTGTTGTCGCTACCGTCAGCAGATATCTGTGCGTCTGTGGCCTTGGACTCGCCGAAGGTGAGTTTGAGGATCTCAATGGTGAGGCCGAGCATTTCAGTGATGACGGGGAGTCGTTCGGTGGTGTAAGTATCGAGGAGGGAAGCCGGGGATAAGCCCTTGTAGACCAATGCAAGTTTCCAGGCAAGGTTGAACTGTTGAGCACAAGTGACCATGACGTTTCGGACGTTGATGAGAGTAACATGGTCTTACCGCATCTTGGACACTCGTGTTTAAACCTTGCCCACCAGTTGGGCTGTGTACACTGTCAAATGGGGTCAGTTGATCCTCATCGAATGTCACCAGACATGTATACTCACTGCGCAGCATCTAAAATCAGAGAAGAAGAAACAGCGGAGAAGTACACAATGTTGAGCACGGGCAAGAATTCGCACCTCCAGCAACGAAAGCCCTTCCCACACCAAACTTGTTCACCATTCTCATGTTGGGTCTAGTCGCCAAAGGCATCAACAACTGTTCCAACTCATGGAATTTAAATGCACCTAAATTCCGAAACCCACATCACCTCCTTGACGTTGACATCATCACCGAGGCCGATGAAATCCTTGATACAATTCAACAGAGCCTCTTCGTCTTGGGGGAGGCCTTTCATGTCGCGTACATGACTGCCGATCAAGATCTGGTATCCGTCCTTGCCAAGCTCGTCAGTAGGGCGCAACGAGATCCTAACAATCGCAATGCGTTAGCTGGTGCGCGATACTGAAGGTCACGCCGCAACGTACATATCTTGCGACATCGTGCCAAAATAGTGCCAGTACTGGAAGGACCGATTAGTTGACATGTTTTATCCCCGCAGAAGTCAACACGTACCTCGCGATCAAGACCTTTAACTTCTAAACGTATATCGCCCAACACAACATGGTTTTCCCTCAATGTGGAGCCGACAAACGCAAGTTCGAGTTGCTTTCTTGTCACACCTCTCGCGCCATCGGCACCGACCAAATACGCCGCCTCCATCTCTTCCTCTAGCTCCTCCCCATCATCGGCGCGATGCTTGACAATCTTAGCCCTGACGCACTTGTCATCTTGCGTGAACGAGACCAGTCGAGTGCCTAATTCGATGGTGCACCCAAACTTGGCAAGGTGCTCGCGCAAGATTGCCTCAAGTGTGTTCTGACCCATAAGTTTGGGATTATACTGCGATGTTCCGTTAGCCCATTATCCCACCCATCTGCGCTGTCCGTGGAGCAAAAGAGAATGTCAAGGAGGTAAAAGTACACACGTATGGAATCGCAGGCGTAGGCTCCGTGTAGGGTGACATAGCAAACGTTTTGCGGGCTTCGAGTGAACCCCTGTTGTGTTCTTGAAGCAGAGGAAGAAATGTTGCACGTTCATGGATCTCGGGGACATGCAGAAAGTGGAAGACTTCGAATGTGCGGGGATGTGTAGAATTAGCGCCGTAGTAGGAGCATGCAAGGCGAGGTAACTTACCTGGATGCCAGGACCGCGCTGGCCACGTCGGTGGTGCAGCTCCTTCTCTATAATGCGAACCGGCACGTTGTTCTGGGCAAGTGTCAAGGCCGCGGTGAGGCCCGTTGGACCTGCTCCGACCCAGTGTCCGTGTTCATCAATTCGTAAGGGTAGGAAATGAGGGTCGACATACCACGAGTACGGGAGCCGTGCAAGGTGCCATGGCAAGAGTCTGATCGGTTGTAAGAGGTGCACACCTGGGGGATGCTGATAAGCTAACGTCTGAATAACCGAGTCTTTTATACGCCGTTAATGGGGACATGCAGGACCGATATCGGGCTGACTTACAGTTCGCGCGGTGCCGTAGATACGGGCAGGAAGATCAGATGGACGGTCATGTGTCAGGTTACCGTGGAACTCACATTTGATAGGGGATAAACGGAAACTATGTATATCTTCCATGCGCATCACTAGGTTATTGATGAGTGGCAAAGCCCCGGGTTTCAATTGGCTGGTGTGCGCGGACTAAGACGATTTTCGTATCTCCATGCCAGGTCATTCAATGCTCGGACTAGCTCATCACTTGGCAGCAGTCGTAGGTCGTTGATGTTGGTACATAGCTTTGAAGAGGACACATGCATGGGCAATCATGGCCTACAGGCATCCTCTTCAAGGTCATGCGTGGGTGGTAACTCTACATAAGAAACGAGGATACATGGAGTACAACGGCTGAACACGGTCACGAAAAAAGAATTAGGTGCGGATGTACTAATATTTGTTTCTAATTCGATGAGGCATTGTTGAAGATGAGTTTGTTGGAGCTGCCGTCACCAGCGTTATTGATGGGGTCCTTGGAGGACAGCTTACGGAATGCGCACTTAAGGGCCTAAGGTGAGGGACGATAACGTCGTCCGAAGGAATAGGCGCAAGGAATTCAGGCGGCGGGAGGCAGGCCACGATCCAGCGAGGAAGAGCCATGTACGCAATGGTGTATATCGAAGGATACCGGTCGTTCCAGTCTGAAGGTGCAGCATTCTTTAAGAGTTGAATACTGAGCAGGGAGACTAAGTACGCCATGAAGCCGGCAGTGTGGGGGAGAAGCCATAAAGGTACTCGAAAAAGCAGCAATCGCATGATGACTACCCTTGCAGGTAGACAGGATGTTGATGCCTTTGATTGATGTTAGCTAGCTTAAGGCGTAATAACTCTGGTCAGCGTTTCGGCAGGTTTGGGCCTCGCACCTGTAGGAAGACTCACCGAAGTTTCCAAATGATGGATGTCCGGAATGGTCCCTAGGGAAAGGCCGGAACAATAAAGAAATAACACAAAGCTGGCAAGTGCGGACTGACCGAGCGCAACACTTTGACATATTTGCCGTAGTTTGAGAAGTAGGCTCTTTCACTGAGAGTAGAAGCACCAACGGTGACTGCCTTCTCAGCACCGGCAGGAGAGTGTATGCAAGCCTTCCGATCGCCGTTACCTAACTAGGGTGTTAGTAGGTCGACTGCGCACACATAGCTAACTAATGGGTACGTACCTGTAACGACAGCAAAGTGAAAGCCCTGTTCACTGTGATGTCCAAATCAGTCGATTTGCCACTGCTAAGATTCGTCATGTTCCCAACGGAGCCCCTGTGCTTGCCTTTTCTGGTTGCAGCACGCTCGATGCATGCTTCCTCGGCCTTCGCGAGAGCTGACTTACGAGCCCATTTCTACTCCAGTAACGACGGCGGACGCGGATCCACTGACTTTTCGAGCCAAGGACCTTGACTGCAATCACTCATGCTTTCTTAACAGCGCAGTACCTTGCAGAAGCGATGGTGCCGGTACAATGAGTACCGTGACCGCTCTCATCAGTCTGTGTCGCCGCGAAGCACGGCTAATCCCCAGGCTACGAGGTCCCAGAACTGTGCATGCTCGACAGGGATACCTGTGTTGATAACATAGGCCTCTACACCCTCTCCTGCCACATCATCATAGACATACTTTGTGAAAATCGAGCAAGTCAACTTGGGTCGAAGGCTTATCCGCACCAAACCCTATTGTCGCGTACCCGAGTGAGTACGTGAACGAAATAAGAGATGAGAAACGCACCCACTGAAAAATATCGCGCGGATAACTGAATTTTCTCCACGAGGTTGCCCTCGGGTATCCTGTGGATTTGTCCCACGACTCCCTCAGTGAACTTGCCTACGTATCTCTCGAGCCCGCCGTCACAAGTATGACGAAGGCTGTCAACCACGTATCTCCACGGAGGGAATCTGAGGCACGAGTCATCTGCAAGAAGTTGAGATAGTTGCCCATCAGAGCAGGGGACACGTCTTCCCTGAACGCGACGATATAAGAGTTGTCGATCGCGCCGTGGGGGTGGTCCCCGGCATGGAGGGGCGCGACGGATAAATGGGTCCGCGTGGGTGCATAGTACCAGGGGGTGCAAGTGGCACCACTGGCGATGAAGCAGGACATGGCGGCGGGTAGGATGATGGAGAGACACTCTGACTCACAGCTCGTGCGGTGTGGTAGATAGTCATCCACTAGGGGGTCCGAATGCACGGTAATGCACGTATCAGGTTACCGTTGAACCCCAGGGAGAAGACACAAGTATCCGACGAAGCGCGACCACTAGCTCACCAGCTAACACCCTCGCTTTGATGAGAGCCAATTTCTTGTGTGATGTATTGCTATACCACACACATGGCACTCTCATGCAACATCCACGATCAACTCACGTACCTGGCAACTCTTTCGCGTAAAAATATCGATATCAGTGGGATACACGCGGTTCACGACTCACCCCACAAAAGAAAAGACCTGAAAGGAACATAGCGTGAATGGGTACTAATAATCAACGCCTAGACCAGGGGGTAACGTCCGTTCTGTGAGTCCGTGTTGGTCGGGGGATGTGACGCGTCCCTACCATGCTCTTCATTGTAAGTACTTCTGTCCCCCTGACTGTGTGACCAACTCGTCTTACAGAAAGAACTCACCCATGCAGTCCTCCACCCTTCGTATTTCGCAACCCGCATCAAACCCGCATGCTCCAATTTTTGGAGTCGAATTGTATGCAAACATCGACGGTACATGCCCCGGCCAGGGAATCTTCTTCAGCGCTCAACCTTCTGCAATATCGATTATGGTTTCGAACCTCTATCGCACCTCCATATCGTGCAGACTCGATCAACTCGACGTACGTGACACCTCGTTCCCCAAACGCTCTGCAGGCGCATCATAACCCACCCGGATAGCCAAGGTAGTTGAATCGACGTCACCAAATTGTAAAGGTGCAAGCGGTATTACAAGTAAGTTGTTTGCAAGGTCACTGGGAGGAGGAAATTGTGGCTGTGGCGGTCGCGTTTGTTTTGCGTTGTGAGAGCTTCTCACTATATTTACTACATAGTAGCACTATATTATTATTAATCAGTTAATACTAACTTCATGCTCGAATTGTAAACAAAGTTTCCGCGGAAGGAATTCGGTGCTTATATCTAGTAGGATTACTGATGGTACATTACTTGACCCGGTTTCTGAATGTGTTTGCGGACTACACAAGTGTATGGAAAGCCGGAGCATCATGCTCCCCCGGACGTTGGACTTCGGCGAATTGCATTCCGCATTTGGGAGTTTGGCATTTGAAGACCTCGAGTACTGCAAACTACATATTCAACTTCGATAAATTACACTTCGGACTTGGGAGTTTTGCATTTTGGACTTTGGAGTTTTGCAGATCATACTTGGGAGTTTTGCAGATTGTACTTGGGAGTTTTGCAGATTGTACTTGGGAGTTTCCCACATCATTCTGGGTAGTTCTGTGTACTGTCCTTTGCATTTCATACCAAGTATGTATTGTAAGGAACACCATTCCCTGTCCTCTTGATGTCAATTGTGATAATTGTAGCATTACTGTGATGCAAGACTGCCCAGCTCCCTTATACCAGTAGTGATGCATCAATATACTAGTAGTGCAGATCTGAGACCCTCCCTGTTGGAGTAGTAATCTGCACTAATCCTACAAGCACCATTGAGTACCCAAGGCCAGGTAGCTCAGTGGTTAGAGCACCTGGGTATATGCCAGGGGGTCCTGGGTTCAAATCCTGGCTTGGTCATATTTTCCTTTAGTTGTTCACTGCTTGGCAAGTGGTAGTGTAGTTGGCCCTGAGGTCACATGATCTCAAATTCAACACTCCCCCCCCTTAGGAGTTTCTCCCCACAAATCCCCACTGTTTATTTTCATCACTCCTCCACATTGCAGAAAATTGCAGGGGCTTTCAAAACATATCAAAAAGATGAAATAGCACACCCCACACAATGTATAGTATCCAATGGATGGTAGTACTGAGATTTTTTCATATGATAGGACCTCCTGGGACTATATTAGACCAACTTGAGTGTGACACAGCCTCAGAACTTCAGACTTAGTGTTAGTCTCCTACACCTTGAGTAGTCAAATGTACATATCCATTGAATCACAGCTCACAGTGTATCACTTTTCACATTTTTTGGGGTTTAATGGGTGATGAATATAATATGTTACATGTATGTATATCTCATCACCAAGGGAAACTGTAGGAGTACCAATCTGCTGTCACACCCAGATAAGGAAATGATGATGTGCAAAGGGTGCAAGATACATATCATAACCCCAAGAGGGGGTAAGCAAAAACAAAATACAAAGGTGGGAGTAGGGGCAGACATGCCCCAACAGATGAGATATCAAATGTATGATGTAGATATTTCTGAAGGGGTGTTTCTGAGTAGTGACAGACTAACAAGAGAAGATACTCAGGCTTCTATTGGGAGAAGACTAAGGTACAACTAACCTAACAAGAGAAGATACTTTATAGTTTCAGTAAGATAGCTGTAACTCATAATGAAGGGAACCTCACCTCAGGCTTCTATTGGGAAAAGACTGAGGTGCACAAAGGAAAAACAATGTGCTGAAATGACTGTGCTTATGTAAGATATTACCAGTGTAAGAAATATAATTAATGTGCATCAACAGATATAAGGTAGCTACCACAGGGGAAAGAATCCTCATGAGATGAGAACATCACCTCATTGACCCACATCTCTGCCTGAACATACTGAGTCCTAAGCTGGTCATCCTTGCACATATCATTGCTTGTACCTAGCCATTCCCATGTCAGTCACCACACACACATCATTCCTAACAGAAACTCAGTACTACCATCCATTGGATACCATACATTGTGTGTGGTGTGCTAATTCATGTTGGAGCACAGTATGCCATCCAGTCTACACTGAGTTGATTACATAATATGTTAGGTACTTAGTTTACACTTTGTCTTACCTTACACCTCAGACTTCATCATTTCAAGTCTGAGGTACAGTGTTATTCCACTACTAAAGTACACCTTTCTTTACTCACCACCTACACAGTTCTGTGTCTAGGTTAGTAGATAATATAGACTTTGTCATTTCAAGTCTGAGTTCTGTGTCTAGGCTAACTTGAGTAGCCTTCTGCTCTCACCCTACCCACAAAAATTCATCCTTTTGATATGTTTTGAAAGTCTCTGCAATTTTTTTGCACTTTTTCCCATGCCCTCTGGAGGATTGTTTCAGTCCCCAGTGCTCTCCCCTGGAGGTATGCACTTGGGAATGTTGTGGTGACTGCCAATCAGTATTCCAGTGCTACTTAGATAGTCAGCACAGCAGTATACAGCCTAGAACTTGATGAAACCCCTAAATACCAGCAGGAAGAAATCATGGCACAACACCTCAAGGTTTCTGCCACACATAATGAGTGGTTGATATGTTGTAGGTACAGAGCCATCATCCAATCTGATTCCTTTTTTAAGTGCCCATGTCAAATATATCAAAAATGCAAACACTTTTTTGTTTTAGCCCCTAAGATACTTTCCAGTTTTTCAGAGCCTTTCAGACCCTTCATGGATGATCAAATTACATGTGAATACACTCATTATGACCACTACACTGTGTCAGATTACATTACCAGTGCCACAAAGCACAGAAAAATATTTTCAGGGTGTAACACAGGGAGGAGGCAATTGTGCCACTGCACTTGAAGCACCCCATCCCAGCCTATCAACTGTTGATATGTTGTATGGTGTTGTATGGACACATGGCCCCTTCAAGGGGACACAATAAATAGATAGATATGCCCAATATATCAAAAAAGTGTTTGCTTTTTCTGTTTTTCCCCCTATCACACTTTGCAATCATTTGGGCCCATTAGGATGGGCAGAAAAGCATTCATTTATGGTCTAATACACTTATAGTACATCTAACTATCATATACAATGCCTACAGGGCAGGGACAGAACCCAGGAAGGAAGGGGAGGCTGGGGGCAATGAAGGCAGTGTGTGGGAATGTTGGATATCAGGCACATGCCAAATGAGGACATGTTTTGGGAGTAGTGGCTGCGCTTTTTTATGCTTATGTAATTACATAAAATGCGGAGGAGTGATGAAAATAAACTGTGGGGATTTGTGGGGAGAAACTCCTAAGGGGGGGGGGAGGTCTCAGATCTGCACTACTAGTATATTGATGCATCACTACTGGTATAAGGGAGCTGGGCAGTCTTGCATCACAGTAATGCTACAATTATCACAATTGACATCAGGAGGACAGGGAATGGTGTTCCTTACAATACATACTTGGTATGAAATGTGAAGGACAGTACACAGAACTACCCAGAATGATGCAGGAAACTCCCAAGTACGATGTGCAAAACTCCCAAGTACGATGTGCAAAACTCCAAAGTCCAAAATGCAAAACTCCAAAGTCCAATATGCAAAACCCCAAAGTCCAAAATGCAAAACTCCAAAGTCCAAAATGCAAAACTCCCAAGTCCAAAGTGTAATTTATCGAAGTTGAATATGTAATTTGCAGTACTCGAGGTCCTCAAATGCCAAACTCCCAAATGCAGAATGCAATTCGCCGAAATCCGAAGTCCGGGGGAGCATGATGCTCCAGCTTTCCATACAAGTGTGTATAGGCAGCCCGAGTTATAAAGTTCGGTTCTGGTTCCGATGAAGGTGCCTGTCAGACAGACACGATGCAGGTCACATTTGATGTGACTCCTAGCCAATGGGGCATGCTCATGTGGCTGACTGATCATAGGATCAAACTCGGGAGCACACTAGGTTCTTGTCAATCCCTCGGAGGTTGCGCGGTGCCAATACCTGACGCACGTGTGTAGCTATAATATCGGTATATCGGATTTAGGCATGCTGCCTGTCCACAGATCACGATGTCTACCCCACAGGTTCCCCAGCCTGTCCATGTCTTGTCCTCTGATCTTGTCGGTGTACTCAAAAATCGCCGTAGAGGCTACATGGGTAGCTCTTATCAAGAAGAACAAAGACACCCGTTGTTTTTCCGAATCTCCTGTCTTTACGGCATTTCACAGTGCGATACGCAATTTTGGGAGGGATGATGATGATGGCATCTCGGATGGTAGTCCTTCTGGATACCTTTCGCACCA